TGATATGACATGAATAAACATGCATAGCTCGGACCAAAACAACTGCCCATAGCCACACCTCGTTTCTGTATATGTTTACCATTAAAAGAAAAACAATTCCCGTTCAAAACTAATTCCGCTAAGTGCACCAACACAAACGTAGGAGAATCCTTAACTACCCTTTTATTCAGAAAATGCTGTGAAGCCAACAGTCCATCAGTGTGCGGGATAGATGTATAAAGTGATTTTACATCCATAGAAAACAACCCCATGGTATTAACAAACAGTTCAACTCATTTGTTGAGCTCACTACCTAAGGCGCGTTATTTGTTCTATTGTGGAATTTTTTGTGATTCTACTTATAGTTCATGCGCGTTCTTACGTTCCTATGTTCTACCTGTACGTCTAATGTATTGGCAGAGAATATTGCATCAACAATGTGATTATGTTATGGTATGCTAATATAGTCAAGTACAAAATATCTTGGAGCTGTTCACCCTCTTAGCTAAATGATAAAGCATGCTGACTGATTTTCATATTAATTCATTTGAATTTACATATTTATTTTGTTACAATATACCATTTAACATAATGTGTTGTTTTCTCAGAAGTTCAAGCATGAAATTTCTGTGGTCAAACCACAGTATTGATTGTGATATCTGCATCTCTTCAATAGAATTGTACAGTTACACAGAAGAAGTGGAATTTCCGCTTGGTCAGAAATTTTTTGAGGAAGATTTTCATTCAAAAGGTAAGACACATATTGAGTGGTAGTTATACAGTATATTAGACACTATATAAGATAAAGCAAACGACTGGATCTGAAACCAGAATTCCTGAACACTCATCTTAAGACTTGTATAATGAACATACTGTTCTGGTGAAGACATGATTGCAAAATTGCATGCTGATTTTTTCTAACCCTACCTACCGGTACTTCCCAATTGAAATGTGCACTACTGGATAACTAAATTCAGTTGCAGTAGCTAAGTATACCACAGTCCTCTAATCAAAACATTACCACGGTAACTTCTGCCAAGTCTTCATTAAACAATGCCGAGGATATCTGCCATTTTTAATGGCTTTTATGTATAATACAGCTGTAATGATCTACAGAATGTATCTTGATGTTCTGTATTGTTCCAGAAATCTTTAATAGTGCACATTTTTACTTTGCATAATAATAATTCTTGTATGATTCATATCAGTAAATGAAAAATGGACCAAGATCGATGATGACCAGCGGAAAATGTATATTGCACGTCTACTGAATGGTTTAGATGTGGCAAAGAGAGAACAGAGAATGAAAACAGCAAGGTCTATTCTTTATTTGGCTCAAGGTTGGTTCTATGTACGTTGTATCTGTACTCTATCATGTGTCCCCATATTAACTGCCAGAACTTGAAGTCTTTTCCTAGAGCTAACATTCCCACCAAATAGCAGAATAGAAATTTAGAAGGAATGTCTTTTTGCATACCTCTATACCGATTTGTGTCACAGCAATGTGTGTGACAAGAAGAGCTATACCTACATCAGATTTTTATCAGATTGGTTGAATTTACTGTAGAATTTCAGTTCAGGATCTTCACAATTGTGGCCAGAACTACCATGACGATTTAGACAAATGGATATGAATGATCTTGCAACTGTCTGTACTGAACACATGTCTCTCAAAATACATCGTAAAAAAATCATGTGATTATTACTAACCCATTTCACGTTCAAAGATCAGTCCTGTATCAAAATTTTCATGAGAAAATCATCTTGTGGGCTACAACATTTTGACTTTTATTATAATTCAGGTGTTTTTGGTGAAAGTTGCAATGAAGAAGAACAATTGAAATGGGCTCGGTGCAATGCTTTTCTTCTGTATGAATGTGGTGCTTTTTATGCATTTGTAGAGCTACTTATGATGGAAGCAGAGTAAGTAAGATTATTTAGGTGTAAATATCATGATAAAAACAACCAGAAATGCCAGCGAAAAGCATTTTTGCCTACGCCATAATTTGCATCGGTGACATGAAGGCTTGAACTTCATGGAGGCATCAAAGGCAGTTGTGAGATACCCTAGGTGTTTACATTGGTTGCCTTCTACAAATATAGATTTTCCCTATACTATTCTTATACACCAAGGCAATTGCATCAAATTTTGCCTTGTAAATACCATGCATCGCGATTCTTTTTCAGTTGCTGAGTTGGTTGAAAGCAAAGGAAAGTAGGCATGTTTATACAGCATTTTACGGACTGGTGAAATCTATGGCTTTCGTTGTCAGATGTATAATCATAAACTATATTAGATCTTCATAATGATATATGCCAACAAATACACACTAAAATTTGGTTGTCCCTGTTCTTTACTCTGTAAACAGTAATAGTAATGCTGCGTCAGCCGCCATGAGAAAACCTGCTGTGTCTATTGTAGATAGTACAGACTTAAGGTAAACATTTCTTGTCTTGCTATATGATTATTACAATCTATCATTGATTTATGTTGATTCTGATACATTGATGTGATGAATTTATTGTAAAATGATTTATTATTATTATTGCTAAATATGGTACTTGAGTGCCAGTTGCTAATTAATATTCATGATTGTTATAATATAACTACTTTAATTACTTTTATTTTAAATATTTTGGTGAAAAATTATTAATCTAGTTTGTTGAGAATAAAGAATAGAATAGCTATTTGTAGACTAAAAAACATGTGAGTTTCATTAAAGTACAATTCCTAAATTACCGACAGACGTGATGTAATTCTATTTGCGCATACCTACCAGGCAACGGGCGAGGTTAGGACAGAAATATAGAAAGTCAAAAAAGAAAAATAGACATGCATCCTTGGAAGAAGTCAGTGTCAGTTATACAGTTTTTAAAGCAGAGTGAGATGGTTGGGTACAAAAGGAGCAGCTAGAAGAACTATATAATACAGCTGAGAAAAGTGGATTACCAATTTAAAACGATAATTTTTTCAGAGAAAATGAAGTGAAAAGGCTATGGTACGGGTGTGTTTTGCTAAGTAAATACGACCGTAACATTGTTTTTTAACTCCCAAACTACCTCCAAAAATATGAAAGTACTACACTATAGCCAAAGTTGATTTGCATGTTTTTCTTGCTCAGGCAGATACAAGTTAGTTGAAAGCTGATGGCCTTTTTATTTGAAGTGATTTTTTTAATCTGTGAGTTGAAAACACAGACGAGCAGTGTACTGTGTCTCAGCACGTTTGGAACATTCAAAATCTTTCCTACCTTCCGGTTTGTTGACGTCACATTTTGCAATATGTGCAAACACATAAATGATAAACGCTATCAATTCGGGAATTACGTAACTTCTTTTTTGCACATTTATTGAAATGCAAATTTATTCCTATATGCTCTAGAATATACATTGGCATTTCTCAAACAAACAAACAATTCCTGACAGTCTTTGCCGATAAATAACCTGATTTATGACGACTGTATAGCTCAGATGACAATGTGTTAATGTTTAAAATCAAGCATTTCTGCCATCGCAGTTCCGATTCTTGGTCATGAAAGGACAGCGGAAGTTTAACTTGGTACATACATTGAACAAAGCATAATGTTTTTCAGATTGGATTCAAAATGGCCGACTAACATGAATTTTGTATTAACGAATACTGTTCTAGAGCCATGTCTGACATTTCTTGACTGGTTGCTATGAAACTTTACAACTACATTATACACAATGTAATACTCATTAAACTGCATTTGTTGCATGTTCTGATTCAAAATGACTTCAAATAAATTTAACTAAGTGCATTGATAATGTCATTGTTTTTTAATAGAGTTATTATCAGTGTTCTGTATATAATGGTGGAGACAATACAGAGAGTTTGCGATGATGAAACACCTCGCCTGAAACATCTCAGAGAAACATTCAAAACTGAGTTAGGTAAGTAAAATAGCTGTGGGTGTTAGTGTTTATTAACAAAATATATATAAGTGCATCACTAAATTTTGTTGGGATTTTAATTGCACCAAATTCACTGCTAGGTTTTTGGGACAAATCTATTTGATGTGCCACAATTCATACTGTTGTAATGGTGTTATATGCACTGGATTAGCACATATTATCGAAAATAGTGTGGTTGTGTGTTTCTCAAAATGGTGAGGTATGTATAGGTGTTGAAATGTACGTTTAGCGATTGGTCAGTGCATGTAGCTAGAAATGGTGCTTGATCTAGTGGTAAATGGTACTAGATCTAGTGGGAAAATGTACACAAAGGAGGAGTATCGTCACATTGTCATCATCAACAGTGTAATGTCATATTATTGTAGCACTGTTTAATAATTATTGCTAATAATAATTGCATTACAGTAACTATTGCCTGATATATGTTACATTACAAGAAATATTTACGTACATTAGTGTACAAGAGTGTATGTTATTTTTATTGTTATTTATCTCCATGTTAGTCAGCAAAATTTGTAAATATGGGAGAAATGGAATAAAATAAGGCTGTGATTTTGAAAACATGATTGGAAAATGGAAAATATACACAATGTGAAAGCTGTGATGTTATTGTAAGATAGTCACCGCTATTAGTAATGCCTGATGACAAACATAGTCTCCAAATTTTGTTTTAATGAATGCACTTACTGAGCCATATCTGTCATATGTTATATTCGCTCACATTCAAACTTCACACATACATAATACATCTTAGGATGCATATGAATATTTATTCATTTTGTGATCCAACATAAGATGGCTGAATCAAACTTTCTGCCACTCCGGAACCAATTCTTGTGAATTTTGTTCTAATCTGGTACATACATTAGACATTATGGGACCTCTGTGCATATCATTGTGGTTTTTAGATGGAATTCAAAATCAAGCATTTCTGTCATTAAAAAAACAGGATCAAACCCTTACAAATATGTTATACATCAGTCAAATTGTAATTCAAAATGGCTGACTGGTTTCAGTTTTGTTTGCTTTCGCACAACAGGGACCGTGTCATGTCAATGACTTGTTACAGTTCATTTAAGTAAGCATATTTGCTACTAATAGAATAAACATGGTAACAGGATTGGATGTGATTATCAGAAAGTGTTCATACAACATGATAAACTGAATATTGACTTGATTGGGGATTATAAACATAAATAGGTGATGGGAACAACAATGTGGCAGTCATGTCATGTAGGATTGGGCCACAGACTAGATTAGTTCGGATGAACTACCTCTGTGGTCCACACCAAGAAATTATTATTATTATTATTATTATTATTATTATTATAAGATTACTAGAATTGTTATTATTATTGGTGAAATAAAATCATATGATATCATGTTCAACAACACCCTATCATGGAGTCACCTACTCGTGTCATTGAAGATGTTACGCTCAGCATGCAAGAATCACATGTGTCATTTGATTAGGTTCTGTTACATTTTTGAGTGATAGCTGTGACAGTTTAATACATTGTACAATGATGAACGTTTACTAGCTAGATAAATAAATTTGTGTTTGTTCATTTTCATGTATGGACTACAATTAACTACTGGAGTCTTCTATGAACCCAGTAATCGTGAAAATAACGGCTTGCTTAATTATATTTGAACCATGCAGTTTTATTGAAAATTGATTGCCACATTGTTTTTTATCATAAATAGATAGCCAGCCTGTGCACAATCAGTGCATTCTTATCTTGTCTAATGTAACCCGTGTGATTATTTAATTTCTTTTTAACTTTTATGTAATTTCTTCTTCAAGGTCAACCTGTTCTCGGTGAAGAGAGCCTTGCTGTGTTGTTATTTGGTATGGTTACTAAATTTTGCAGTGGTCACGCCCCTCATTATCCTATTAAAAAGATACTACAGTTGCTATGGAAGACAATTCTGGTATGTGTGTTTGTTATTTTCATACTCAACTCTAAAAAAAATATTAGCCAGCTTGTACAACCTGATTGCAATGCATGAAGAGTTTGAAGTAAATTTCTGTTGAATCATCAATCAGTAACTAGTACATGTACTTGACTTCACTTTGTTTTGTAGTTTTCGTTGGGTGGTATGAATGACTTAGCTACAATGAAAGGAAAAGCCAGAGAGCACATCGGCCTTCCATGTTTACGAGAGGATAGTGTCCTGGTCACCAGGAATATGAGAGCTGCATCACCACCTACTTCAGCTGCTGACTTGATAGAGCAACAACAGCATAAACGCAGTAGAAATAGAAAGGTAATGTGTTTGCTGCTTCCCAGGATTCCGTGGGAGTCAGTGGCACTGATGCCTAAATAAACATGTACAACATATACTGTGATTCTCTCACTAGCCCCCTACCCCCCACCTCTCCACCCATTTTAGACACAAAGAAAAGACTAAATTCATTCATGTTCACCCATTTCTTAAATCTGTACCGATCTATTTTAAGATGACCAACTAGCCATTTTATTTTTAAAACCAACAGAATAAGCATTTCCGCTCTTCTGGAACTGAATCTAAAACATGCATGCATACATGAATTACATTTAATCTTGTGAAATAGAATACCATTGATGAACACCATTTTGTTTCATCACCTGTTTCATAACAAAATAGTCAACTGGTGGGCAATTTGTTTTTAAATCCTTTTCTAGAATTATACCTCATAACAATCCCCCAGTGATGGGCACTTCGGTGACATCAAAATGAGGAATATATATGGATGAATTAAAAATCAACACATGTGTTTGGTTATGAAGTCATTTATTGCCCAGAATATAGTAAAATCTTTTCTGAATGTAATAGTCATTGGTGGATCCATACAACTACAGTTTAAAAATGATATTAACACTTTGAGTGACCTTTGTGTCACCCATCTACACCATAGAAGTTCTTAGTCACTGAATGGCGTTGTATTGCATTCAAACTCAGATGTTTATGTATTTAATTTTTAATCTGTAAAAATGCTATTGGACATACAATTGTTTTCATTCATGTAGAGATTTAGTGCATGACTTGTAGTCCAATAAACTGTAGTCCAGTCCTTTCATTCATGCTGTTGTGTAAGATGTTGTGCATGTCATGTATGTCTCTTTTTCACTGTTTCCAGGATTCTTATCGTCCTAATCATTTTTTGTCTTCAATCCGCACCCCGGAACCTGTATATATTAAACCTGATACAGAAAGAGATTAGTCATTATGTTTTTTTTTTAGTTCATACAATGAACATTTATTTTTTTAATTTTAATAATTTCTAATTTTTATTATAACAAACTGTATTTCTATTATTTGTTGTTGTTTTCTAAATAATGGTCATTTTTTTGCCATGTTTTTGTTACATGACCTCTGGTGGCCTCCTGTTCCTCCTGATCCATGATGTGACACCTGACCCAATGACCTATCAACTCTGACCTGACCTGCCTCTGGAACTCTTTGCCATCCTGTGTACATGTATGAATGAGCTC